CCAGGAGCTGTTTCCTCTTGTAGATGTTGCTAGGTTCAGATGCAGATGGAAAACTTAGGGATGATAAAACCCATCCTTCAGAAAGGTCAGGTCAGCATTTGTCCCATCACCTGTTGGGAAAGAAAATAACAGCAGATTAATTAAAAAACCCCCCCCAAATGTTACTCACCAAGCACCTTTGGATATCAGAAGTATATGGCTGATGTTTGTAATTGCTGCTGAGGATGAAGAATTCTTGGCAGAAGGCAGCAGCTGAGTGTTTCTGAAGGCTGCCTCAGTCCAACCAGTTGTTGCTGAGCTGCTCCTCAGGGTACCAAGCACAGGGCAGGTGAGGTCATACAGGCAGGTGTCACTTCTCTGCCCCTTTGTGACACACAGGCCTTGTGTGGGCCCATGGAACACTGTCACCACCATGGGCACTGGAAGTTCCTGTGCCTTCCCAGGCACTGCTGACAAAGTTTGATCACTGACAGAGCTCCTGCTCCTCCAGGAGCTGCAGAGCCAGAGGACACAAAGGTGCTGGGGGCTGTGAGTGAGCTCTGCCTGGGACACTTGAAGGGTTGAGGGTTTCTGTTCCAGGTTTTCCCAGGCCCTGGAATGAGTCCATGAGACTTGACTAGTAAATCACTTGAGCTTTTATGGTTCATCCCCAGTGGATTTTCTCTGCCCTCCAGGTAAGTTTCAGCTGACCCTGAACCAGCACTACCAAAGGAACATCTTCAGCAATGGTGCTGGGGGGACCTTGTCTGGCTCCCACCCAGCTGCTCTCACCTTCAGGGCAGGGTTAGGTTGGAGATCAGGAAAAGGTTCTTCCCCCAGAGGTGTTTGGGCACTGAAAGCTCCCCAGGGCAGTGGGCACAGCCCCAAGGCTGACAGAGCTCCAGGAGTGTTTGCCCAATGCTCTCAGGCACAGGGTGCAGTGTTGGGGTGTCCTGTTGGACTGATGAACCTCAATGTGCTCTTCCAACTCTGAATATTTTATGGCTCTGTGACCCTTACTGGCTTTTTAGCACCAGGATTCTTGGGAATTCAACTCTCAGGAGAGCACATTAGAATCCAAAGCCTCATTTTAGGGCACAAACTCCTCACTTGAGGCTCAAACACTTCGGTTCTTCATGTCTAAAGTCTCATTTGGAAGGTGATAAATTCACTATTTATCCTCCCAATCCCTTTGGGGATTTAAAAGTGATGCTTTTCTCTCTGATTTTAAGGATCACATTACATAAATGAGGGTTTGAGTTTGGAAAACTCAGGGTTGAATCAGAAAAAAAATCCTTTGGACCTTGAAATTGTTGTTAAGGCAGGGGAAGCACCTGAGGTTTGTAAGTGCTTGTGGTTGAAAGGAATGACCAAAGTGTCAGAGGGGCTAGAAACAATCCATTTTATTGGGAAGTTACACACTTAGCATGGAAATTGGTCTGGCAGGCCCTGATCTACTGTGCAAGCACAGAGCAGTGGGTTGGGATAAAGGGGAGAGTGAGCAGGAAGATAGAAACTAAAAAGGGAGAGATGAATTAAGGAGAGAAAAAGAGGGGGAAAAAAAGGAAGAGAAAAGAGAGCTCACCAGTCTCTGAGGGCTTCAGGAGAGCAGTTCTGATGGCAGGGCATGGTCACCCTCCAGACCTGCTCCCTCTCTCTGGCCAGACACAGGTGTACCTGGCCCTCCCATGCTCTGCCAGGACTCTGCCTCTCACCTATGCCATGAGTTCCTGCAGCAAGTGGCTCCAGTCCCCAAACAGTCTGAGAGGGCCTTCCCCCTGTGGTGCTACCAGCAAGGCCAGGGATTTCCAGGGGGGCCCAGACTGGAGTGGGACTTGGTTTGGGCCAGAGTAGAAGTAGGGAGTGACAATTGTCATGGTTTGCCTGTGGCTGTGCTGGACTGTGAGTCTGTGCCACTGTGATGTCACACTGGTCAGTCTGTTGGACCACAGAGAAGGTCCCAAAGCCTGGAGCAACCTGCCCTGGTGGGAGGTGTCCCTGCCCAGAGCAGGGGTTGGAACTAGGTGATCTCTAAGGTCCATTCCAACCCCTGAACATACTATGAAACAGAATCTACAACTTGGCTCTCAGGAAAATCAACCCCAAGAACAAACCAAATCAAATTATCTTAGTAGTCCCCATTTTTGGAGTTCAAACTCTATGTCTCAGCAGGCCTAAAAATATAAGTCTTACCTTGGGACAGATGCATTAAAATCTACTCCACAACAACAAAAATTAACCACAGCTCTAAGAAGACACACTGTGGATGCCTCTGTAAATTAAGGTCCATACAAAGAGTTCACACTCTGACATCCCTCACGAGGAATCCAAAGCTTCGTGGATACTCCTGTAGCTCCAGCTGTAGTTGCTCCAGACAGGACTCTCCTCATGATCACTGATGAGTTCTTCAGGACCAGGACATTAGCATCAGAGTATTCTGGAAACAACACAGATGCAGAAAAACACAGCAGGATGGCTATTAATATGGAATCCGGTGGCACTTTGGAGTTACAGATTTAAAAGTCACATTTTATATGGAACTTTGTGCTTTTTAATGGTCTCGAAACCAACAGCACCTTCCAAGGAATCTTCAGGTTTGATCTTCAAACACAAGCAGCAAAATCTGTCTCAAGATTCTCAGTCCCAAAAGTCAATGAGAGGCTGCTAAGGCAGGAGGTTCTCTCCTGATCTGGCTTCACTTGCTTTTGCTTCTCTTAAGCTACAAAACCAGCAGATCTTTGGAGAAAAACAAACCTCAGCAAAGTCCTGTTTGATAAACCAGATTGAAGTCTGACTTGTGTGCTACAGCACAGAAACTCTGGGCCAATGGGCCCAGTGCTCTAGGCCCACTGCATTGTGACCTCATATCATAGAGCCATGGAACCATAGAATCAGCACAGAACCCTGGAGCCAACCAGGCAGAGGCTCAGGGAGTATCCTGAGCTGGAAGGGACCTACAAGGATCATCAAGTCCAAATCCTGGCCCTGCACAGGACACTCAGATGATCCCACCATGTGCTGGAGAGCATTGTAGGAGGAGGTTCTCGTTGGAGAGGTTTGGAGGCAGCGTTTGCTGACCTGCTGCACTCTGTAGATTGTGCTGCTTACCAGGGCTCAGATCAGAGGTGTCACAGAGAGAATTCCAGGCCTTGTACAGCCCTCTGGCTATTACCTGCTGCTCTTGTTTCATATTCCAGGCCTTGTACAGCCCTCTGGCTCTAACCTGCTGCTCTTGTTTCACGTGGGTGCCAATGATAGGGTCAAGAGCAGGCTGAGCACCACCAAGAAGGTTACAGAGCCCTGGAAGCAGCAGTACCTGCTGATCCTGGAGTGTAGGATTTTTAGAAGTGCAGTTTTTAGGTCAATCTCCTCAGCCCAAGGGAAGGGGTTTGACAGAACCAGGTGAATCTGGAGAATCTGGGTGCTTAGACCATGGGACTTGCTTTGAGAAACATGGTCCATAGGGGCAGAGAGTCCATCTGGCAGAGAAGGGGAAGAGCATCTTCACTCATATGCTTGCCAAGCTGGGGCAGAGAGCTTTCCAGCTGCTGGGGGAGCACATCCTCAATCCATCCCACTCCTACCAGTGCCAGGGACAGCAAGAGATGCCCTGAACCTCAAGACCACATCCCATATGTAAGGGCTTCTCCAGCATCACTTTACAACCACCTCAACTCCCCCTCAGAAGCCAAGGCCAACGCTGACACCATTGAGCAGGTTTGACTTCTGCTCATGTCCTCTCCAGCTGCCAGTGTAATTCTGTTCTCTGTGCAGGAGTTCCTGTTGGGCCTTAGGGGAAAAGCAATTTGATCAGCAGGACAAGCAGGATGCAGTGCAGGCTGCACTGGGCCACAGCCATTTCCTTCTGGGGCAATCCAAAGGCAACATCAGTGCCAAAGAGCTGCTCTGCCCTGCCCACAAAGGCTGCAGTTGAGCCCAAAATAAAGTTGAGCCATTTCCAAGGACACGGTGGTGTGGCAGCGTGGGCAAAGCGAGGGCTGTGTGGGAAGCACAGGAGATGGTTTGGCTGCTCAGGAAGCCACAGCTCCCTCCCCACAGCTGTGGGTGCTGATAGAGGGCTGGGCAGCTCCCCTGGCAGCACTGCCCCAGGGCAGGGCCTGGGCCACGGGCAGGACGAGGCAGAGCAGCAGAGGAGCAAACACTGGAAGATCTGCAGGTGAGTCCCAGTGTCTGGAGGGTTGAGCACTTGAGGGAGTCAGATCTGTGCATGGGAAGCTCTTTTCATAGGATTCATGCTCCTGTCGTGTGAATCCAAACCTAGCAGAGGGTAAAAGCTCCCTGAATATAGGGAGCCTCTTCCAGCACCCAGCCTGGCTGGGCTGGGACATGAGCACACAGAGCCACAGCTCAGGTGGGCAATGCTGCCCAGAGGAGGAGGAGGAGGCACTGCTGCAAGGAGGCTCATGAGTCAGGGTCTCCTGGCACACCAAGGAGAATGAGGTGAGCAAAAGGGCAGAAATGACATCTCTTGGCTGAGCCTGCTGCCCTCAAGGAGGAGCTGACAGGGTGGGTGCTGAGCCTGCTGCCCTCAAGGAGATGACAGGGTGGGTGCTGGCAGTAGGTGTGAGATTCATCCCTCCCTTCATAGAATCATAGAATCAACCAGGTTGGAAGAGACCTCAAAGATCATCAAGCCCAACCCCATTGTGGTTACTAGCCCATGGCACTAAGTGCCACATCCAGTCTCAGCTTGAAAACCTCCAGGGATGGGGAATCCACCACCTCCCTGGGCAGCACATTCCAATGCCTGAGCACTCTCTCTGGAAAAAATCTCTTCCTAATATCCAACCTAACCCTCCCCTGGCAGAGCTTCACCCTGCTAGGGAGGAGCTGCAGAGCTCAGAGTCCCTGGGGGTGCCAGCTGTGCTGTGAATGGTGCTGCAATGTGTAGGTACCTGCACCCACAGCCCTTGGTCCTCCTCTCCAGGCCATGTGTGTCCCTGCCCTGCTCCTGCTCACCCTGCCAGCCCTGCAGGCTGCAGCTCAGCTCTGCTCCTCAGAGATGAACAAGGTGAAGGACATCCTGGAGGTGAACTGCACGGGGCAGGCGCTCAGCACGGTGCCCACAGACCTGCCCACGGACACAGGGATCCTGCTGCTCAGCACCAACAGGCTGGTGTCTCTCTCCACCGCTGCCTTGCCAGCTGCAGTACCTCGACCTGTCCTACAACATGCTGGTGGCCCTGCACACCGAGACCCCCCTGCCATCCCTGAAGGAGCTGATCCTGTCCCACAACAAACTGAGCTCCCTGCCCACCCTGCGGGGGCTGCCCGCGCTCACCCGCCTGGCCCTGGCCCACAACAGCCTGACCACCGTGGCCACGGGCGCTTTCCTCTCCGTGCCACAGCTGCAGGACCTGGACCTGCGCGGGAACCTGCTGCGGACGCTGCCCGGGGAGGCCTTTGCAGGGATGAAGGCACTCAAGGATTTGGATCTCTCGGATAACATGCTGGACGAACTCCCCAAGGAGCTGCTGCAGGACCTCAAG